TCTGGGTAGCATTGTAAATAGAAGCAGTAGCACAGAAGTCAGAAAAGGGGAGCTTGTGATCGGGAGGTTGCAGGTTTCAATCCCTGCACGTGGGTGGGAAAGAAACATCTGCTGCGTCACATGATGGGAAAAATGCATAGTTTTTCATTTTTCACCTTTAAAAAAACAAAAAAATTGCACAAGATAGACCACAGACCTTTTTTAAGCCTCTTACCAAAAATAATATGTGYAGCAGTACGCTGCTTTTACAAAATKACAAGGTTTACAAGTCAGTTAAGGAGAAACAAACAATCTAACACAGCAGAGTGAAAGGGAACAGTAGCTAACGTTCAGACCTTTGCAGAGGTTGAWAAGATCGGCTTCGCGTGTACTGTAAGCATCAGCTGATCACTGATCACCCAAAATTAAGGAAATCTGGGCTTTTTGGTCACCTGGTTGWTTTATTAAACATTATCATATCACAAATTTATCATGAGCGCAAYATCAGCATTGCAAGAAATAATAAGCCATCGTATTTTAAGTCCCATGTATTCATGTTCAGCACACTAACAAAACATTTGKTCAATCCCATAGACTCTCTCTGGCCTTCATGCCAACACCCAGCTGACAGAAGAAATAGTGCTAAAAATGTTGCATTATCGCAAATGTCATTGTAATATTAAACTACTAATACATATTATACTATACTTATACAATAATAATAATAAGTTCTTATATTGCTCCACCGTGTTTATAATTAACTGAAGGAATACATTTCGTTTGATACATTTTATGCCAAAGTTTTAAATTAAGAAGACTGAGGGCTTCTATCACACTAATGTTTTTTACAGTATCTGTGAAAATTATCTATATACAGCCATTTTTGTATTTACCAAGGTTGATTATCTGTGGCACCCTACTTGAATCCTGTTGACTCAAGTGGATGTGTGTAGAGGAGTATAAAATACTTGAAAAAAAATGAGGAAAAGCAATAATACCTTGACAAAAATGATTGGTAAAAATTAATKTCACTAATAATAAAAGTACTTTAGTAAAAGTCATAAAAATGCTCAAATAATCTKTAAAATAAAAGTATTCAAAAACAGAAGTTGTGTCATGTTATGTATTACTGAGTAAATGTAAAGCAATTCCACATGTTCTTTGTGAAGGTTGTGTTACATTTAACTCTGTGGAGTGGGAGTTGTTGACAGAACTTGTACATTTATTACTCGATCAGAGCTTCATTCAAATCTCACCAGAGGTTCAGAGACCCAGGCAAAAACATTATTGCACACATTTTGCTTGGGAGTATAATAATAATAATAATAATAATAATAATAATA